CCTAGCATTTTTGACCAGTTGAACGGGGACACTCTGTATAACGTATTATACTTGTGGTTTTCGCAGTATAACGTCATAACGGGTCTTTAAAAAAAAAGTAAATCAAAGTTGGCTATGGTTTTAAAAACGTATGTCTTAGCTATATTTTTCCTAACCTAAAAATTGAGTTTTGTAATGTCAGAATGTCATGTCAAAAATCTTGACCAATGACGAAACAATAATGCGACGTACGTTTTCGTAATCAAAGCACCCTTTGATTTGTTTTTTTTTTGAAGAACCGTTATCTTATTCCCACAGGCCACAGGAAATAATGACGAAACGCGGGATCAATAGCCATTATTCCCCGTAGTTATTATTCCCGCTTGTCCACAACAATACAAACAAATAACAGACTCAAAAGTGTCAGTGTTAAATGTCAAACCCCTAGTGTTTGTAGGTATATTTTTTTGTATTGAGATGGATGAAAATGAAAAGTTGTTTATTGAAATCCTCAAATAAATAAATTATTCGCAAATAAAGTAGAGTATACTACTGGCAATAATGGATATAATTTTTTTGGAATATTTACTCCCTCGCCGCAATGCGGCTCGGTTCGTGAATCCTCGGGAATAAAAGCGTACATTATTGACTGGTGGTATTATCTACAGTTGAAGTATAGGTAGCTAATAAGAGAATTTCATATATTCACCTCCTCCATTGTATCTTGTATCCTCTGTTGAAAAAAACGATCTTACGATGCACTAGAAATCACATACACACAATAATGTTGAATGCAGAATGAATGAAGAATGTATAACTGCCATTTGCATTTAACAATCAGATTCACACTTTTTTTACGAAATTTTGTAAAAAAAGTGTGAATTTCGTAAAAAGTTTGTGAATTCACACTTTTTTTACGAAATTTCGTAAAAAAAGTGTGAATTCACAGTTTTTTTACGAAATTCTGTAAAAAAAGTGTGAATTTCGTGAAAAGTTTGTGAATTCAGACTTTTTTTACAGAAAAGCAAAAATTTACACTTTTTTTACGAAATTTCGTAAAAAAAGTGTGAATTCACATTTTTTTTTACAAAATTCTGTAAAAAAAGTGTGAATTTCGTAAAAAGTTTGTGAATTCACACTTTTTTTACAGAAAAGCAAAAATTCACACTTTTTTTACGAAATTTCGTAAAAAAAGTGTGAATTCACAGTTTTTTTTACGAAATTCTGTAAAAAAAGTGTGAATTTCGTAAAAAGTTTGTGAATTCACAGTTTTTTTACAAAAAACAAAAATTCACACTTTTTTTACAAAATTTCGTAAAAAAAGTGTGAATTCACAGTTTTTTTACGAAATTTCGTAAAAAGTTTGTGAATTCACACTTTTTTTTACAGAAAAGCAAAAATTTACACTTTTTTTACGAAATTTCGTAAAAAGTTTGTGAATTCACACTTTTTTTACGAAATTTCGTAAAAAAAGTGTGAATACCAAAAAAAAAGTAGGATGTGGCCCCTCTACGCTTTCGTAAAATTATAACCTTATTCATTTAAACTAAATTTCGAAAATATAGTTTTTATTGCGAAATACTATTCCTTTATTTGTTGAAAAAAATTTAAAAAATAAATTTTTGGTTGTGATTTTTTTTTTACCTAAGTATTTGATTGTTTTTTATTTTTTGACAATTTCAGTGGTTGGTTTTTATTATTTTTATATGATGTCCATCATCCATTCAGTGTGCTGCTTGTTTTCTGATTTTTAATAATTGGAACTGATGGATTTCTGTAAATGAACCATCTAATAATTTATTTAAAATTTCAACACCTTGTACAGGGTGCGTCCCAAATTCGAGCAGTATCATTGGGATATAGGAAACGGTAAGAGATACAGGGTCGGTTAAATTAGGGCAAAGTTGCGCAATTTTATGACCAATAAAATGCCGTTTTGAAATTTGAAAAATTCCGAATACTTCCGAAGGTATTCGAAAAAAACCGAAATTTTGTGAAATCGTTTTTATTATTTCCTAGGCTTATTTGAAGAGCAATTTCAAAATAAATGTCACTTCATCATTGTCACTTTTTACCCTCTACAAGATGGTGTGACTAAATTTCGGATTCGACGTTTCGTCTTTGGGCGGCCATCATCAACTTAATTTTTTCAAGTACAGACCTTGATTTTTTATTTCAGATTTCAAGAGCTTCTGATGTCCCAAAACCTATGACGTATCGCATTTAATCGAAAAAATATTTTTTTTAGTTCTTAGTAATTTCCTACCAAAATTATCTTCTCTGTCTCTCTCTAACACATAAAGTTCTTATGGAAAGTGCCAATAATATGAATTTTTCGAATAAATGCGATACGTCAAAGGCTTTGGGACATCAGAAGCTCTTGAAATCTCGAATAAAAAATCCAGGTCCGTACTTGAAAAAATTAACTTGATGATGGCCGCTCAAAGACGAAACGTCGAATCCGAAATTTAGACGCACCATCGTGTGAAGAGTAAAAAGTGACAACGATGAAGTGACATTTATTTTAAAATTGCTCTTCAAATAGGCCCAGGAAATAATACAAACGATTTTACAAAATTTTGGCTTTTTCCGAATATCTTCTGAAGTATCCGGAATTTTTCAAATTTCAAAACGGCGTTTTATTGGTTATAAAATTGCGCAACTTTGTCCTAATTTAACCGACCCTGTATCTCTTACCGTTTCCTATATCCCAATGATACTGCTCGAATTTGGGACACCCTGTACAGCAAGCACAATCGAAACATTTTTGGAATAATGCTAATATGTATAAAGTTATTCTATATTTTCGTCTGTACAAAATGCTGGTAAAATACTGCTTCATTTTTTGATGATGCCTATTTGATGTTACAGAAAATGGCGTCTCGTAAAAGAAAATGTATTCTTGACTTATCAAAAAGACACTTGCGTCGTCTTATTCAGACAAACGAACAAATTAAAGATTCTCCGGCGTTCCATGACAATTCAGCGAGTTGCAGTTCAGTTTGCATCAATGAAATAAATAATAGTAACATCAATGAATTTAATTACTCCTCCAATTGCCCTGATGATCAATTTATGGGTTCGCCTTCAGAGTTGCCAAAATCGATAAATGAAGACCCTAATAGTTTTTTAGACGCTGTCGATATTGCATTCGAAGAACATCAAGTTAATCACAATAATTATATTGTGAACAATAATAGTGAGAACGATTTAGTAGTAGAAAATCAGGTAGAAAATGAAGGAGAAATTGAAAATAATGTTACACCATTGAAACTGCAGCTCAGTTATTGGGCTACAAAACACAAAATAAAACGGAGCGCTGTTTCGGACTTACTTAAGATATTACAAAAACATGATAGTGGAGCGAACCTCCCTAAAGATTCTAGAACTTTACTGAAAACACCTAGGACTACTAATATCAAATATATAAGTCCAGGGCAGTACTATCACTTTGATTTAACCTCAACTTTACTAAATGCCATTGAGGCGGATATAAAAAAATATCAATTTAAAGAAATTTGCATAAAAATTGGCATTGATGGATTACCCATATCAGACTCCAACACCAGTCAACTCTGGCCAATACTTGGTTGTATTCATCCTACTTCGAGAGTTTTTATGATTGGTGTTTACCATGGGTATAGCAAACCTGCCGACTCCAATGAGTTTTTGCAGGCCTTCGTAGATGATATTAGTATTTTAATTCAAGAGGGTCTGACATATAAGGAAGTTAAATTTAATATATCAATTCATTGCTTGATAGCAGATGCACCAGCGAAATCCTTCATAACTAAAACAAAAGGTCACACAGGTTACTTCAGCTGTACTAAATGTGAACAGGAGGGTATCTTCATTCAGGGACGTATGAGTTTCCCATCAACCAATTCTAAGAAAAGAACAGAAGCGTCTTTTATTATGCAAGAAAATGCTGAATATCATTTAGGCACCTCAATTTTGCTCAATATTCCAAATTTTGATATAGTCCTGGATATCCCGTTGGACTATATGCATCTAGTATGTATCGGCGTCGTCAAAAAAATTATTTCTTTTTGGATCAAGGGTCCCCTACAAGTACGTCTATCGGCAGCGAAAGTCAATATCATTTCCAAAAGTTTAATACAAATGAAACCATTTATTGTTCGAGAGTTTGCTAGAAAGCCTCAGGAACTTCAGTGTTATAGTAACTGGAAGGCTACAGAACTGAGACAGTTCCTTCTTTATACAGGACCTGTGGTTTTATATCAGGTACTCCCACCCACTTTATATTACCATTTTTTGAGTCTACACATAGCAATCAGAATTTTCTGTGACGAAAAACACGACGTAGTTCAGCTCCAATATGCTCACGATTTGATTTCACATTTTATTCAATCATTTATTGTTATTTACGGAGAAGAGTTCGTTTCCCACAACATTCATGGTTTGATCCATATTAAAAATGATGTTGAACGCTTTGGACACCTCGACGCTTTCAGTGCTTTCCCTTTTGAAAATTTCATGAAAAATTTGAAAACGTTTATTAGTAAGCCTGAAAAACCATTGCAACAGATTCATAGACGGTATATGGAAATTCAGTCATCGTCAGCGTGCAATAAGTATGAAGAAGATCAAAAAGAAAATAAAATGTATCACAATGATGGGCCACTAATACCAAATATTTCATTTAGAGATCAGTTGCGGACAAAGCAGATATTAAATTGGTTTTTTTCTATCAAAAACCCAGATAATTGTTGTCACATAGGAAGAATAATAATAGAAATACATAATTTTGCATATTGCAATGAAATTGCGCAATATGTGATTATTGGAAAACAGTTTCTTACTGTCACTGACTTTTATCAAAAACCATGTCCATCTTCAAATAATTTATGTTTCTATGTGGATAATTTGAGTGAAAACTTTGAAATGTGGCCTGCTAATGAAATAAGCGCTAAATGTTTGAGGCTCCCTCATGCCAGCGGTTTTGCTGTATTTCCCCTACTTCATAAGTAAAATTAGCAAATTGAATATTATTTTTACAGCCCATGTAAATGAATATATATTTAAACACAATGTCCAAGTCTTGGTGCGTGGTTGAGTTTTCCGATGGCGTTCAAATTGTACCTCACTCATGGATAACTGGTGACAAATGTTACTGGCCAACCTATAGTGGTATTAATGCTCAATCATTATTCAAGAAGGCAGTAGTTGAGTACCAAGCACCTGATAAGAATAACTGGGCGTTGTATGCAATGAGGATTTTGGGTATTTATGGTATGTTTGGTTAACATCATCAGATCGCATGTTAATTACTTATAAATTTTGTAGACTCTTACGAACAGGCTGCGCCAAAGCTGAAAAAAGCTGAAATCCAGTCAGATATAAATTCTTCGGATAAGGATGAGTCCCGCTCCAAGAAAAGCCGTCGCGTGAGAAAGAGGGTTGTTCATTCAAGCGAAGAGGACAACACGGATCCTGAAGATGAAATTGAGGGAATCGAGCCCTTTCCAACTCCGCCAACGAAGAAAGCGAATTTGAAAATAACCCCTAATAGTCGAACTGACACACGCATATCTCAGTTACCTGATCAGGATCCAAGTCCATCAACCTCAACCAATAAGGCTTGCAACTCATCAACATTTAATTTCTTCACTGCAACTCCAAGATCATTGACTAATCCAAGAACAACTTCACAAACAATAAGTGGTGGAACTTTTAAAACACTGAAAAAAAATCTGACTTTAGAGAGTGATGAGGAGAATGGGATAACAGAAAATAATGAGAACCATTCATCATTTATTTCACAAATAACCCCAAGAAATGAACAAGGGAACTGCGACTGTTGTAAATCATGTAAAGGTACTAAAAATATCAATTATTTATATATTCTACTTAAATGGTTTTTATTCTAAGTCGGAATTTTTAATATGAATTTTTTTTTCCAGATTCCAGAAACAAAACAAACAATGATATCACGGAAATAAAAAATCAGTTAAAATTACTGCTACAGACATTAAGGGAGCGTCAAACGGACATCCAAGAAAACCCAAACACTGATGAAATTAATAGCTTTAGAGAAAAGCTACCTATGAAAACAGCAGCTGATGTTGATTCCTGGGAACAGATATTGAATTCTGTTGATGAGCGCAAAAAAATGGTACATTTATTATTCATTCATTCACTATGTTTTTCTGTGACTATCCTATATACTTTATCTAAAATTATTCCTATAACTTCCTATCATTTTAGGTGACGTATCTGGCTAAAATAGGTGGACACGATATCAATACCATTGTAAAAAACATTTTGAAAGCTCTCTTCACTGATTTTGTCGCATCAATGTACAACTGGGAGGGAAAGAAAAATAAAAAAATGTTGTCATCCCTCAATAACATTGTTGAATGTATTAAAGGTAATAAAATATTTTTAATGGAATTATGGAATCGACTCAATATTTTCATTTGTTACAGAGGCATCAATGAAAAGTCCAAATAGATCAACAAAAGTAACAAATCAGGATATTATTGACTCTATCAAGAATTGGCTACGACATGCGTCTGCCAGACTGAATAACAGCCAGTAAGTGAACTATATTTTGAACCATTAAAATTTTTCACAGGACAATAATATAGTTTATTTAAATAACTACCAGGGATCAAGTCATTATGTATTTTTAGTTATTCTATACAGGATGCCCTTAGTTAAACTGGCATATTTCGCAAGTGAACATTATTTTTTTTGTATCTATGTATACCTGCAAAATGTGTCAGTTTATCTCAGAAAACCCTGTATTATAATATAAGTTACATACTCATCTGCGCAAAATGCTTTATTTACACCTGTTTTTTTGGGTTATAGCTATTGATTTAAAAATTATATGGATAAATTTGTTAAGAAAATCTATATCAGTGATGCATCCCTGAGCAGTTTCTTCAAAGTTTTATCTATGTCCTATAACCTATCAAATCTGGTGATGTGAAAGAAATATCTAAAAAAAATTTTTTTCAGGAAGAAAAATCGAGATGAAACTGGTTGAATACTTAATTTGATACGCTATTTTATATTAACATGCATATTGTACTGTATAATAATATACATTAGGTACTTAATCATACCTAACAATAAAACATAATGTTTATTCATAAAATTGCAATTTATTATCCTAATTATTTTTCAGAAAAGCAAATAAATGAACCATGGATTTCATTTATAAAGGACACCCTGAAGGTCCTTACGGAAACGCTGATCCGGTCAAATCGATCACCAGCTGATGTGATTTCTGTTTTTTTGAGAAAACAAAAAGCTGGTGATCGGATTAATTGAATCAGTGTTTCCGTAAAAGGCCCCATTTTGGATATCCATAATAAAATAATAATGGATTTCCAGTGGATATGGATAGGTTATCTACAGGTTGTCTATGAACCTTTACTAAAGATATCCATAAGTATATCCATAGGATATCTTCTATATCCTGGATATGGACGGACATTTGGATATCTATATCGAATCCACTAGATATCTATGGATATCCAGGGGATATTGTGGATATCCATAAAAGATATCCTATGGGTATCTCTGGGATTTGGCGTGTTGTCTGGGTATGTTTGAGTAAAGTTTTACATGCCTAATAGCGGTTTTCGGACCTCTTTTTTGATGACGTCATAACTGATAGTGGAAGTAAGAAATTTTTTGGGTCTGGGGCGGCTTTCAATTTTTGATGTATCTAGAATCTAAATCCAAGAGGGCAGCTTCTCCGCCAGAAGTGAAATATTTTTGGGCTAAGCCACCCGACTATTAAGTTAGAGGTTTATTAATGGAATTGATTTTCTGTTAGTAGGGTTAAAATAAATAGACAATTAATTTATTAATGAAACAAAATCACAATATTTAGAGAACAGCTGATTGTCTGATCGGAGTAGATTGTCTAGATTGACAGCGCTCCAAATAGGGTCAATGACTGATACTAACTTAACTTGAATAAGTCCCATGCCCCAACTACCATCAAAATCCCCAGTACCTTCCACCTTGGAGTTTTGACAGAACCTTTTTAAAGGACATTGCAGGGACAAGCAGAGGTCATTCAGGTCGAGGACTTTCCACGATTAAGTGTTCGGGAAAATTCCTCAGGCACATTTTGCCGATTTTCTGAGTTGTCTAGTTTTCGCTCATAGATCTAGGGTGGCTAATCCGTTATTTTAGCACCCAATCGCCTTGTGTGGATTTTTTTTGTGAGTCGAAAAAGAGCAACGTGTCCAATTGTTTGTTCCTAAAGGCCAAAGTATTTTGGTGAGTCGTTTTTCTTATTAATCTTCTCTGTTTCTCTATTTCCTATGTAAAAGCATAGTTTTCTGTTAATTATACGGTTAAATTCCGAATATCAGACATACCTACCTCTATTGCTCCACGCCCTGTCTCATAACGTCCATTTGTTTCAGGCCTTTAATCTTTACCCTTAGATGTCCCCTTTTATTCGTCACGCTTCAGTCCCTAACTTTCATAATAAATAAAGGGCATTCCGTTTGAAAAAAGTGAACATGGACATATTTTTCCATTTTTTGTTGCTCATTTGTACAATCTAATTGAAAATTCTGGCGGTTCAGATGAAATACTACAACTTTTGTATTTACACCGTTCACCTATCACCTGTAATTACGGCTGCAGGTGGGAGTCAAAATATGGTGACTCACCCTGTACACTGTATACAGGATGTGCCAGGGAAAACAGTCCACCCCAATTTACTGTATTTGGGATGAGAATCTGGGAAAACGCTCGGACACGTCAATGTTTGATTGAAGGGGGAACTATTTTGCAGTTTTTTTCATCCCCGTCCCGTAACTTCAACCCCCCAAATTTGAATAGGGGATAGGGGTTGTGTCATACCTCTTTTTAAAGGTCTCATCGAGTTCTTTATGGCCCTAGAATTTCATCTTATTATTCACATACGTAACGAAATGACAGCTTGTCAAAATCTCGGAAATAGACTATTGTTTTAGTAGAAGTAAAAGCGGTACTTACCTCCCTTAATAAAAATACATGTAAAAATACCTACAATTTACAATTATTGTGTACACCTCATTATTAGTAATAATAAAAAACTTCAATTTCAAGTATTCTTATCAAGGGACGTAACTATCGCTTTTACTCCCACTAGAACTAATAGTCTATTTCCAAAATTTTGACAAGCTGTCATTTCGTTACGGATGAAAATAATAAGACGAAATTCTAGGGTCATAAAAAATTCGATGAGACCTTTGAAAAGAGATATGACAGGACCCCTATCCCCTATTCAAATTTGAGGGGTTGTTCTTCCCCTAGCTAGGGGGTTGAAGCAAATCCAATAAATCGGGGTGGACTGTTTTTCCTGGGACACCCTGTATGTACATATGATTGAATAGATATAATATGTAATATTATAAGGAGGCAGAATGTGTATGTGTCAATGTGAATGTATTCAATATTCTTTAGGCGTAGCAGATTCAGCAATAACCAGGTTTCTTGGACGAGAATGTCATGATACAAGCACAAGCTGCGATACCGAAAATGTTGATCCAAACAGTGATACTAGTAACAGGTACAGTACTTACTTTTTTACTTTATGTTTTCTTCATAACAGGATGCATATGACATATTATGCTTTTATTTCAAAATTTAAATTTCAAGCGAATAAAATTTTTCCTTCAAATAATTTAACTCATTTCAAAATAAAATTCTTCTTGCAAAATATAATTATGTGCAAAAGGTAATACTTGTAGGATTATTCTAGGTCAAGATCTAGGTATAAATACTGTCTATTTTTTAGGAACCTTATATCAGTTCGAAGGCTTATTATCAATGGAGAAAATTTCGAGTTTCTGAATAGTATCAAGAGCAAGATAAATTTTAAATCTTATTCTCTGTTGCCTTGTTGTCAGAGTATTTTGGATTCACTGGAAAGTTCTGATGCTGTGGAAGTGGCTACGAGATATGAGCAAGGATCCAGTGCTTGGTTCAAAGAAAAACAGCTAAGGATCACAGGTAAAATGAAATTGAAAATCTCTTTAAATACTTCACTTGACTTAAGACTTAAGTGCATTAAAACAATCACAATCTTATAGCATTGTGAAATGAAGTCCTTTACATATGAAGGTACTTAAAAGCTGATCCACATTGATGCAGTTTTAATACCGCATACAAGCATCACACAACTACATTGAAACTGTATTCATGTTCTACTTCTGTCATGGAAAATGCAGACAATTTTTTTATACTTGGGTGCTGGCCAATGCACTGGTAATTGTGACAAACAATGCTGTAACTTTATTGCAGTATCAAAAGGGTATCAGTGCGGAGCAGCCTTAAAAAAATGTGTAAACTTTGTCCATTCACAGAAACTTTGACTGTCAGTTATGTTATAATAACTATGAGTTTGATGAGTAGATATTAATTATAGTTACATTATTTAAACTTAATTATTCCCTATTCTACTTTTGACATATTTTTCTTCATTTAGGGACAACGTGCTATTCAATTTTCACTTTCAAAAAGAGTGATGATTGGGAAAATAAATCCAAGAACTTCTTCTTTCCAAAGCACTTCACAAATAAAATGGTAGAACATGGAAAAAAATATGAGAAGGAAGCTCTTGGAATTTATGTGCAAAAATATGGATGTGACATAGCAACACCTGGCCTAATAATTTCCAAAATGATGCCATGGCTGGCATTTTCGCCAAATGGAGTGATATTCAATGGTGGCAGTCCATCAGAATTGCTGGAAATTAAATGCCCATTTATTGGTATGTATATGTAGTCAAGCTATTGAAAGCTGAGATTTTATTCTTCTATATTGATTTTATAAATTACTTGAGGAGTTATTATAATAGTACATTATATACTTAGGGAATAAAGTGGTTGTCTTAATCCTGAGACAAAAAATATATTAATATATATATTTTGTCGATTGAAAAAAACTTTAGCCTTGAGGTGTATACACTATTCCATGCACTTTACTTTATTTCCCAGGGATTAAATAAAACAGGGAATAAAAGGGCTCTTTTAATCCCCATGAAATCTTTTTGGATATATGCACATTCCTTGAGAAAAGTGGTTCCGAAATAAAACTAAAGGAAAGACATCAATACTATGGACAGGTCCAGCTAGGGATGGCTCTGCTAGGTTTAAAAAAAGCCAAATTTATTATATATTCTTCTTTTTCCAAATAATTTTTAGAATTGAACATTGAATTCAATGAAAATTTTGCTACTAGTTTAATTAAAAAAATAACAGATAATTATTTTCAAAACATAATGTGCCATTTTTATTGTTTAAATAAAGATTGAAAATACTACAAATATTTATCCCTTTTTTTATACCTGATATCTGTTACATATTTGTTACAGCCATTGTCTTTCAATTCATGCTGTTTGAAGGCCAACATAATTAATTGCTCATAATGTCGTGCTATAATAGTTACCTATATAATTACCAATAATCAATTATTTAAATCGGAATTTTGAAAAAACAAGTTTTTACTTATAATTGCTGAAAATCACATTTCAGTTATACCAAAGTTTGTTATATCACAGTTTGTTATATCACAGTTTGTTATATCACAGTTTGTTATATCACAGTTTGTTATATCACAGTTTGTTATTTCACAGTTTGTAATGCAAAATAAATTGGTAGCTATCTACAAAATAATAAAAATATATTGATCTTATATGGTTGGTTTACAATGTATGTACATGTGTAAATAAAAAAGTTGTAGCATTTTATCTGAACCGCCAGAATTTTTAATTACATTGAACAAATAAGCAACGCAAAGTAAAAAAATATGTTGATGTTCACTTTTTTCAAATGGAATGCCCTTTATTTTCTTTCAAATTCTTAAAGTTCTCATTTTTCTGATTTAGAATATCTGGAGTATAGTTATTCAAAGAAAGATTTTTGGATATAGTTTTTTGAATATATTTTACCTTGATTTACCTGTCACCTGTTACAAAACATTCTGATTCCTGAATAGATCTTTGAATAACTAAATTCCAGATATTTCCAAAACTATTGAAAGAAACATTAACATAGTATTTATATATTCTGAATCAGAAAAACGAGAACAATTCATTCCGAGTTGAGCTCTCAAAGTGAAAGCATCTGCCTAGCGAAGAGAGATCTCAATTCAAGTTAGTTTGTGCGCCGACGGGAATGATGACCAGTGCCATTTCCTGGAGCCCAACCCAGCTGCCAGTTACTGTGTTTCAAAGTGCCAGTCAGTGTGTGTTCAAAGTACCAGTTAGTGTGTTCCCCCAAGATGCCAGACCAATCCATGGAAGAGTGGAAGGCTAACACTGCACGCCAAATCGAAGGACTGCAACAGGAAAAACAAGCCTTGAAGACCGATTTAGTTCAGCTCCAGTCCGACAACGTCAAGCTCAAACAAGAGCTAGATTTGGTGAAAAAAGA